AAAGAAGAAGGGGAGATAAGGACGATAGATGTTTGATAGGAAAGAAGAAGCAAACCACACCAGAGCACCCGCCAACCACCCACGGGGGGAGTTGGAGAATTGGAACACATCATGTCATAACTTCCTTTCTGTGGTCAGGGGGTGGTGTGGGGGGGTGTCAAGAAATAAAAGACACCAGGTGATAAACATTCTCTTCATGATCGGACCAAGATGGAGTGTCAAGACATTGAAAACATCTTGTGATAAATTTTCTCTTTTTAATTGGGGAGGTAGAAAACTGACGTCAACAGATTGCCAATTCTTGGATCAGCCACTCTAGAAACAGACGACATTTGGTCGCTTGTAAGCACAAGGGGGCTATCTAAAAAAATGCTGTTTGCAGAAAATCGAAGATAAAGTTTTTGCTCCTTGTTCAGTTTCTTTAAAAGACAAGGAGAGTTTTCTCTTCTATTGTAACAAAACAAGTATACACACCAATGAAACCAAACTTCTCCTCTAGGTAGGGCAATGCCCACCTTTGGTGTAGGTCAAGATTTCTGGAAACCCCCGAAATCTGGGTTAGCCCGCTTGTCCTTGAAAGCTACCATTTGTTGTATAAACTTACTCTTGTTGATAGTCGGGGGGGGGGTTGTTAAACAGTGTCCACTCCAGTCTTATGTTCGTGCTGGAATCCAGGTGTCTGCTAGTCTTTATCCGAACAGTTAATTTCATATGATGGTAGTATTTTAGGAGATTTATTTTTCTTGTTCGAAGAATCAGGCCAAGTTTCTGAACAGCCCCTACCCCCCCTCCCCAAACCTCCCAGAGTAAGTTAGTTTAAAATCTTTTACTGGTTGTTTTAGATTTATTATAAAATGAAGATGTGTTTTTTCCTGTCCCCATTGTTTTATGCAAGAAAAATTCTGAAATTATGCAAACTGAGCCCAAAAATATGAAATTATGCGATTCTGTTAATTTTAACAAAGAATGATAAAGGAAAATAATCTCAAATTATCCCAAAAAATGATCAAATTTTGCTAAATTATGCAGGGTGCCTAAAACAACGGGGACAGCTTTTCGTTCATGTGCGTGCACAGATAATGTTTGTGAAAAACGGTGACAATGTATGGAATAGTGTTAGTTGACATGACATACTGACATAGACAGTAGACATGTGTTGTCATACTTTTGTTCAAATGGCGTAAGTCTCTAATGTCTCTGGGTGGGGAAAATTAAAATGTTAACGTGTAAAGAAAGGGGGTGTTCTATTTTCTTTTTTTCAAGACAGTAGATTCATTCCTTGTGAATTTCTTCCCTTTTTTTTAAATCTTTTTTTTTTAGCTGAACTTGAAAAATAAAATTCTGTATCAGGCGGTGTCAACAGATGTTTCTCAAGTTTATATGATTTATGACTTACGCCCTTTTTGTTGGAGTGTGAAGACATATGAAGCAGTAAGATGTGCTAATTATAGCGAGGACCAGCAGACCCGCGTTTGACAGGCATGTTTTTGCGAATCTTCCCAGAGGTCACCCTGAGCGCACTGAACGCCCCCGAGGGAGACGTGGATATTGAGGGACTGGGGGACAACAGCGGTCACAAAAAGCTGGATTTTGACTCAGGTACTGGATCATGCACTGTGTGTTGTTGTTGTTTTTGTAAAGTGTTTTACGGGGCTCGCAACTGCATAGGTCATGTGAGCGCGCGGGACACACCTAATATTTTCAGTTGGTAGGAAATTTTGAATTTTGCCCGGGTGGCGCAATCGATTCTTTTGCGAAATTTGGTAAGTGGTAAGTGTTTTTATGGCGCTCATAACTGTATAAGGTCATATGATGGCGCGGGACACACCTAATATGTTCAGTTGGTAGGAAATTTTGAATTTTGCCCGGGTGGCGGCCGAAGCCTACTCTTATCGATTTTAGACCATCAAGGGATCTTTAACGTGCGCAACTTGCACACGGGCCCTCTGAGATTTTTCGCCCTTGTCCGTGAAGGCTAGGTGTAAATCTTTCCTACCAGAAGATCAGGGGTGTGGCAGAAAGACAGCAGTTAGGAGAAGCCAAGGAGTAGCAGTAGAAAGAGGAGGGGGCAAAGGAGGTGAGGGGGTGGGGGCAGAAAGTGGAAATGAAAGCAGACAACAGAACATTGCTAGAGAGCAGGGAAGGAGGTGAAAGGAGACAATTTTAGAGAAGAAAATTTTTTAGTCGCTACCCGGATTCGAACCCGGGACCTTTGAATGAGAGGCCAACACCTTAACCTCTAGGCCACGAGAGCCCCCGTTTTGTTCGTGCTGGTGAATAATAATAGATAGCATTTGTGTAGCGCAAATCCCCGCTCAACAGCAAGCTCTACGCACTTCACAATCTATACTATTACCCCAGCAGACCTGGGTGCATTCTGAAACAAACTCAACTTCCTGGGAAGCATACAGTGCAAGCAGCCATTTATAGGCGCTCAAACACTAACAAACTGACAAGATCTTTCGCTGTTTATGGCCGGGTGCCCTTTCCCACTTGGGGGAAGTGAAGAAAATTTGTGTAAAGTGCCTTTCCCAAGTACACAACGTCGGGCCCGTGGCTTGACCCCGCAACCTCGCGATTAAGAGTCCGGTAGCCTAATCAGTAGGCCACCGAATAAAGTGATTGTAAAAGTTTTGAACGTTAAAATGCCCAACAATGAGAGGTTGAGCAGTTCCAGCATGCTTGACAGTCAGAAAGTAGGTCATTCAGTCTTGAAGTTGCCCTGGGTTTGTTTGTTTTCAGGGTTCCGGCGGCCTCCTTGAATTCAAGGAGTCTTTGAAAACTCCTTGAATTTGCATTCAAGGTACAATCTCCTTCAAAAACTCCTTGAATTTGAGGAACCTCCTTGAATTTCCCCGGATCGGACACAAACAAGATTTTTGTCGGATTGCTCTTGGCGTGTCGTCGAAAACGGCTTGAATTTCTTGACCAAACATCCTTCAATTTTTAACATTTCTCCTTGAAATCTTGAATTTGGTGGGGAGTTCGTGGCAAGAACCCTGTGTTTTGTTTGGAGTTTGGTTGGGGGGGGGGGGGGTGTTGGGTTTTTTATTTTGTTTTTCTTTTAGTTTTAGCTTTTTATATGATTTTGTGAATGATACTTTTTAGTCAACTTAGAAAAATAAAAGTGCACAAGACAGAAGGAATAGTTCACAGTACAGTGCGGTGTATTCAAAATTCCATTTGCTCAGCATGTACGGGTACACATAGATTGATTAGAATATTTCTTGTCAAATCTGCTTGTTATTTCGTTCTCTTTTTACACTTTGTTTAGTATATTGTCAAATCTGCTTGTTATTTCATTCTCTTTAAAAATTTTACTCTTTGTTTAGTAGTATTTTCTATTTCTTTTTCAGATGTGGACTCAAGCCTGTTGTGAAGGAAAGACTGAGAAGGAAATGAATGCAGGTGTGAGAAGATGGATGGATGGATACTTTTTGCTTTGTGGTGGCAGATTGAGTGTGTCTGTCTGTTTTTGGTACATGATAGCAGGTGGAAGGTGTGTTTGAGATTTGCTGGGGGGGGGGGGGGAGATTGAGTAGGGCCCTTGCATTTATATGTCTCAAAGCTTGGTGTTCTCACTTAAAGCAGTATGATAAAGTTATCATAATATAATGTGTAAAAAAGTTGTTCCCGCTTCCGATCCGGACATAATGTGTATTTCTGCGCAAAAAAATTCTTCAGGAGCAATGTGGAGGTTTACTCTCAATGATTTATGTCTTGTGTAAACTGGCTCTGGCAAAATGATATTTTATGTTTTATATAATGGCAAGTGCGTATGACTAGAGTAAAGGAAGTTGTGCATGGTTGAAAGGATAAATGTGTCATGACGTGGTGAGATCAGGCACTCGTCAAAAAGCGGAAATCAAAGAAATTGGTGTTTTTCTGGCTGTTGGGCATTTTTTTTTTCTACTTTTCTTTTTTTTTTGGCTCAACACCTATTACATCCATTTAAAAACACATTTCTGCTTGGATTTTACTGAAAAACATTGATTAAAGGCACCAAAAAATGTAAATTTTTATTTTCCAAGGACTCAAGCTATAGAAATTACCAAACTTTGGCAGCCATTTTCTCGCTAATTTTACCTCTGAAACCGGGCGATCCTGACCTCATTCAATCGCAAATATCTCGACTTCTATTCAATATTAATGGATATTTTTTTATCCAAAAGCAAGGCAAATGAACAGGCTTTAAGATGGTATCAATAACTCCATATGTCCAAAAATTGACCAGTGCCTGATTCCACCATGTTGTGACACAAATGTAATTTTTTTTTATCCTTCTCTGAAAGAAAGAAATCAGTGTCTGAGTTGATGGAAGAGATGACAGAGTAATGAGTGTGTTTTTAATTTTTTTTTTTTTTTCCGCATGATGTACATTGAATACTCGCAGTATCTAAGTTTAATTCATTCTGTGTGAAAAAAAAGCATGTTGTTGAACGAAAGTGCCTGATGAATGGATGATGAAAGAAAGTGCCTGATGATTGATGACTGGATGATGAAAGAAAGTGCCTGATGAATCGATGATGAAAGTATCAGTTTCGCGCTGGGGGGAGGTGGGGAACTGATTGTGGAAGTGCTAGTGTGGCCTGAGAATGTGGCAGAATGTGAATGTTGTCGATACCTTATATTTTATAGCAATTGATGCAACCATCAGTTTTTGTACAGTTTGTCTAATAATAAATATTGTACTTATTTTCTCTTCCGTGTTTGCCTGGTTCAGACTTGTACACGATATGTGTTTGTCGAGTCCGTTGTACAGTGTGGGTGGTTGGGGGGTGCTCTGATGTGGTTTGCTTCTTCTTTCCTATGAAACATCTCGCAACTGCATAAATAAGGTCATATAAGCGCCAGAAGAATAGAGGTGTTACAAGAGAGTAACAAACATAAAAAAAGAAGAAGGGGAGATAAGGACAATAGACACATTTTTTTGAGTTTGAGTGAAGAGAAGGACATCGGCCCAGTAACAATCAAATAGTGCAGAGAAGACAAGTATAGACAAAAACAACAGAGGGAAAGAAAAGACCCAATTTGTTGGGGGTTTTTGGCACTAAGAGAAAGACTGAAGGTGGGGAATAGAGCAAAGATTAAATTACCTGGTACATTAAGATTAAAAGAGGAAAGACCTACCAGTGACGACAGCCCCAGAAGAATCTTGCAATACTCAGAAATCGGAAACACAACAAAACATTTCTGCTTCTTTCTTCACAGTGTCAAGTTTATTTTGTATACATAATGGGTTCCAGTGTCAAAGAATATTTTTAAAAACAAACACATGACTTAAAAGAACACACCAGCGCTTGTGTTGCCTCCTCCTCCCTCTTTCTCTAATTGTGCACAGTTCATGACACAGAACTGCCAACACACATCACTGGCTAGGTCTAGACCTGTTAGTTAAGGCCTTCCCATCACAGTGGGTGTCGCATTCAACGAGGTTGCCCGCACCGGCTTGCTGTCCTCATTGGATCCGACTTCTCGTTGAATGCGACACCCACTGTACAACACTCTGATTGTGCACAGTTCATGACACAGAGCTACCAACACACATCAGTGGCTCGGTCTAGACCTGTCACACACATCAGTGGCTAGGTCTACACCTGTTAAGGCCTCCCCTATACCACAATCTGATTGTGTACAGTTCATAACACAGACCTGTCACACACACACACACATCAGTGGCTAGGTCTAGACCTGCTAAGTCAAGTATTGGGCAAGGGAGGGGAAACACAGTACCGTACCGAAGTGTGGACAGCTACATGCACTCTGACCTGTCACACACATCTGTGGCTAGGTCTAGACCTGTTAACACTTTGCCCCCACAGGACGCCGATCGCCGACGGTAAGAAGCCGTCCCTTTCCCCCATGGGACGCCGATCGGCGACGGTGTGATATAGCGTGTATCCTGGTCCGTGGGGATAAGTGTGTTGCGCGCTCTGCATGCCGCGTGGGTGGAAAGTGTTAAGGCCTCCCCTATACAACAGAGTCTTGGACCTGGGAGAAAACACTTACAGTAGTGTAGTGTTGACAGCTACATGCACTCGGAGCAGTCACAAACATCGTACTTTTCCACGTACGGCCACACAGCTACTCTACCCAAATCCCTAAATAGTTTAGTGATGAAATCTCACTCTAATGTAATACAAAAGAATGCTTTCAAAGACAATCTCACATTGCCCAGGATAGATCTGCAGATAGACGTTCCACCAGGTAGCCAGACGTTCTTCACACCACAATGGGAAAAAAAACAAAAAATCCAAGCATCTAAACAGACCCAACAAACACTGTTGGATTCCACACGTACACATAATCTCTGCTGACATTCATATATATATATATAAAGAAAGTTCACCCATTGCATTCTTGGAGTCAGTATCAATTGCCTCAAACTGCAGTTGGATACATTGAATACCACCAGAGTTGGATTCAAACACGAGACTTGTGTTCAGGAAAGCAATCACTCTATAAATTCAAAGCCACCACCTGATGCTCTTAACACTTTGACCACACAGCAACAAATCTTTGAAGCGCTACCAGCAAATGCTGGAATAATCACAGGCGCGCACACACACACACACACAAACTCACACACCCACCAACTAAGCAACCACTCACACGCGGTCTTCATTCTTCTGTTACAAACTTGAAACCAAGAGCAAATATATATATTTACAGATCCACTTCGGCATAAAATCATGTGGTGTCATTTTTTTAAAGAGTTTATGTACACAGTCTTCAACTCCTCATACAACATACTGATTACATTTACAGTAGTAGTTGTCAATAATTTATCAACAATGAAACAAAACTAAACATAGTTCTCACACATTTGGTAAAATCATCACTTCCTCTGCCAACCGTTTTAGTGCTGCGCTACAATGATTCCTCTACTAGGGGAAGAGTGGAGGGTGTACAAAAGATTATGCATGCACTGTAGTAGCGATGAAGTATGTATCAATATATATGGACACGAATGTGCTGGGACCGTTGGGAGGAACTGAAAATGGCAGGAGAAAAGAAAAAACACAGGCACATCAAAACCTGACCAAAGTACACATGGATCTTGCCACAAAGGAGGGATCTTCAGATGTTTGTACTCCAGTCAAAAAAAAACCCCAAAAAAATCGAATCAACACCACATTTGGTGCTGGGAGGGATAAAAAAAAAACCCAACCAAGACAACAGACAGAACCAACCCCGGAGAGCAGAAAGAGGTCAGACCTATCAGCGACACTATCCAACAACAACCTAACAAATATATGATTACGGATTATTATTATTTTATGTGTCATCTCTGCTAAAATAACAATCAGATAAAAAAGCAGAAACTGCCAAAAGCGTTCACTTCACTTCACACGGCAAGATAATGACTTTGTAGATAGGAGCAAAGAGAACAAGATTCTGGCCACAAAAAGTCAGGGAGCAAGTCCTGTGACAGTAGTTAGAGTACCGAGGTCCACCTCGTCAGACTGGAAGAAAACCGAAACACACAAACACACGCACACACATTCACGCAGAGTTGTGCACAAACGTCCACTCAGTACTCTGTGCCAACCTAATAAAGTACAAAAAGAGGGTGTTTTTTTCCCCCCATGGGAAGGTCATTTCAAGGGCTACAATTGGTCACTTTTAAGGACAAGTGGGCTAACCCAGATTCTGGGGGTTTCCAGAAATCTTGACCTACACCAAAAGTGGGCATTACCCTACCTATAGGAGAAGTTTGGTTTCATTGGTGTGTATATTTGCTTGGTTATAGAGAAAACTCTCCTTGTCTGTTAAAGAAACTGAACAAGGGGCAAAAACTTTAGCTTCGATTTTCTCAAACAGCATTTTTCGGGATAGCCCCCCTTGTGCTTAAAAGCGACCAATTATTTCCCCCATGTTCTCTGTCATTATCTCTGATGGTACGACGAATGACATACTGACCATGCTTATCCCTTCGATCATGCATGATTGATAGAAAAACACACACAGTAACACAGACGTCTGCTGCTTAATGACGCACTCACTAGAGCCACAACAGATGAAAAACCCAAACATTCATAAGTTTGTCAACATCATAAAAGGAAAAAAAAGCATCTCGATATCAGTTTACAAAGAGGAATTTGATGAACAACTGAGCTTCTTCTTAATTCTTTATGAGTTTGAGTTTAGTTTTAGTAGAGGTTTTACGGTGCTCATGGCTGCGTAAGGTCATATGAGAGCTAGAAGATTAGACGTGTTACAAGAGAATAACAAACGTAAAAAAGAAGGAAGGGAGATAAAGACGATAGATGTTTGAAAGGAAGGAAGACGCAAACCACACCAGAGCACCCACCAACCACCCATGTGAGATATGACACATTGGAGAAGGTGACACACAACACCATGTGAGATATGACACATGGGAGAAGGTGACACACAACACCATGGGAGAAGGTGACACACAGCACCATGTGACATATGACACACCAGAGAAGGTGACACACAACACTATGTGAGATATGACACATGGGAGAAGGTGACACACAGCACCATGTGAGATATGACACATGGGAGAAGGTGACACACAGCACCATGTGAGATATGACACATCGGAGAAGGTGACACACAACACCATGTGAGATATGACACATTGGAGAAGGTGACACACAACACCATGTGAGATATGACACATCGGAGAAGGTGACACACAACACCATGTGAGATATGACACATCAGAGAAGGTGACACACAACACCATGTGAGATATGACACATTGGAGAAGGTGACACACAACACCATGTGAGATAATATATACCAGAGAGGGTGACACGAGCCTTAGTGAGACACATTAAGCCCCGCTCAACTTCGGTCCACAACATCTTACACTTGTCTGTGTGCAGCAATGTCTTCCTAGGTTTACATAAAAAAAACAACCTAAGTTTTAGTAAGTGTTTTTAGTTTTAGTAGAGGTTTTACGGAACTTGCAACACCATAAGGTCATATAAGTGCCGAAGATTAGAGGAGTTACAAGAGAGTAAAAACACAAAAAGGGGGGGGGGGGGATAGACGATAGATGTTTGATAGGACAGAAGAAGCAAACCACACCAGAGCACCCGCCAACCACCCACAAAAAAACCTAAGAGAAATTAAAAGCTCAAAAGAAGCAGGGTTGACGCAAAGTGGTAAGGCATACGAGAAATAAAAAGACATTTCCTCCAAACAAACCACAAAAAAAGTAGAGTTTTAAAACGCATTCAAATAATGAACCTGTCGTCTGCAATACTTGTATACTACCTTAAAAGCGAGAAAAAAACAACCCCAAAACAAAACACAACTATAGAGAAATAATGAAATAAAGCCATCATGACAATCAAGAAAACTTGCATGTCATGAGCTCAGACCCACAACAATTTCTACTGAAAACTTTACACATATATATATTCTTAAATAAATTCCCAAAAAAACAGTTCTCGGTTGAGGTCGATTTGATAGAAACTCAAGCCCAAACTCCCACATTTTTTTAGAACCTACTGTAAATCCCACATCAGGACATAAAACGCGAAGATGAGTTGAGTTCACTTTGGGGGTGGACACAATCATGGCCATACCTCACCAGGCAGCAATCTCACAGGAACAGAAGGTGAGGTGGGAGATGAAGAAGAAGTCTCTCACTCAGAAATGACTTTAATTTTTAAAAACATGATTTTATAGAAATTAATAAAAAATGAAAACAAAACTACCTGCTTTCACACCATGTGATATAACTAATCAAACAAAATAGAGGAGGGGGGGGGGGAGGGGGTGTAGGTAATTTCTAAATAAAGCCGAGTTGGTGCTGCTGACAAAGGGAGAGACGTAACAATCACCACACCACCTCCGACAAGACTTTTTTTCATTCCGAGGAAAAAAGAAACTATAAACCACCCAGAAAAGTCTCTCTCTCCTCACAGGGCTGGCTGGTGGTGGGTGCGAGAGTCCCCGAAAATCATCACCAGTTTCCTCACCTCACCACCACCACCACAACAACAACGAACGCTGCGTCGGCCATCGCCACCTTAGTTATACCACCGTGCTCCGATGGCTGTTTATCACGGGTTTTGCATATTCTACAAAGTCGTCGATTAGAACAGGCCACGCTCCTGCGACAAAGGGAGAGAACAAAAAGCAGAAATAAGGGGAGGGAAGGAAAGCTAAAAAAATGTTTACAAACAATAATATCAGTCCATATTGCTGTCCCCGCGGTTTTATGCAAATAAAATTCTGAAATTTATGCAAACTGAGCCTAAAAATGTGAAATTATGCGATTCTGTTAATTTCAAAAAAAGAATGATAAAGGACAATAATCAGAAATTATGCAAAAATGATCAAATTTTGCTAAATTATGCACGGTGCATAAAACCCCGAGGACAGAGATATTGCAAACATCAAGTGTACTGTCTATGAGCTTTTTAGATGAACTAAGCCCAAAATTGTTATTTTTCGCTTTATTGCAATTCTTTAATCTGTGGTATGGGTTGTGCTTGTTCGGGGAATATCTTGTTCAATTTCACATTCTAAATGTTGTAACAAAAAAAACAAAAAAAGCAAGAAAAGGTACATAATGTAGGTACAACCAGTCGCTTTTAAGGACAAGCGGGTTAACCCAGATTTTGGGGGTTTACAGAAATCTTGACGTACACCAAAAGTAGGCATTGCCCTACCTATAGGAGAAGTTTGCTCTCACAGGTGTGTATATTTGTTTGGTTATAGAGAAAACTCTCTTTGTCTTTTAAACAAGCTGAACAAGGGTCCAAAAGCTTTAACTTCAATTTTCTCAAAAAAACATTTTTCGGGATAGCCCCCTTGTGCTTAAAAGCGACCAACTGTTAAAAGAACGAAAACCTTTTTGCTCTATCCTGAAAAATGTGGCTTTCTGGGCTTAGAGCACTTACACAGCTTACAGAAGAATAAATACCCTCTTATTATCTTTGAGTTTCTACATTTCGTGAAGCAGTTGATCAGAAGAAAAAGGTTTGTAAAAAATTAGAGATGTCATCTTATTTATTTATTTTTTTTAAAGAAGAAGGAAGTTTCATCTTATGAAAAATGACTTAAATCACTACATAAAAATTGAAACCTAATTATACCTGCTTCCCCTCCACCCATCCGCCAATCCAAAATTCAACCTAGCACAGAATGGAATTTTCTTTTTTAAGAAAAGACCGGTATGGGTTGATGAAAGAGAGCAGTCACGTTCTTTCTGTTTTCAAATCAGTTAAACAAACAAACAAGCACACACACACGCGCGCGCACACACACACACACACACACACACTCACACACACACACAGAGTCACATACACAAATATACACACACTCGAGCTATGCTAGAATTAATTTTTTATCAAACCGTTACCCACTGAGCAGACATTGAAAATGTTCTAATATCTTAAGAAAGGAGGGAGCTGGAATTAACTTATAACAATGCATCAGCATCACGCTAGCATTACTCTTAGCCCCTCTCCCCCCCATTTGATTTTCACACAAAATAACACTCACTCATATCTGTCTTCAGAGAAAGTTGCATTCGAAATTATAGCAAAAGTTGCAAGAAAAATTTGCAGAAGTTGCAAGAAAAGTTGCAAGACGTGTATAGCAAAAAAAAAATGTCCTGGAATTATTGGAATACATTGGTATGCTCATTACAATCAAGGTAACCGGTTATTTTTGACGAAGTATTATTTTTCCAACTTTTGCGGAAAATTTGCTAAAATTCGCGAATTCACGAAAATGGCAAAAGTTACATGCGCAATTGCCGGTAGTGGGTGCGAATTTCTCTGAGGACAGTCATATGGGCAAAACGAGTGAAACAAAATTAGCACAAACAACAACTCACCTTCTTCATCGTAATTACTCATGTCATCATTAATCATATTACAAAAGTCAAGCAACAAGTTCCACGTGTCCTTGGGGATCGATCGCTTGTGGTTCTCCTGAAAAATTAAAAAAAACCCGCAAAAAATAAGTGGGACAGAAACAAAGACATGACCTGTAAGAATTGTGGCTACAGCAGTACTGTGTTGAAATATTCAAGAAGCTCACTAATACAGCCACATCTCAACCCCACCTAGGGTCCTGCTCCGAAAATGACTCCCTTCTCAAAGTATAACAGTAAACAATTTTTTTTTAATTTCTGCAAAAGCAGATGATGATAAAAATACCACAGGGATGCCACTCAACTTTTTTTTAAAATAGCTGAAAATCCACGCGCCACGGTCTCGCTAAAATATGAATATCAATTTGAAACCCAAAGGGTGTACATAAAGAGAAATGACAAACAAACAAACAAACATATATAGATTCTATCTCGATCTCAATAACAGAATAGCCGATCAGGATCAAAATACCGGAAATACCGGAAAAAAGCGGAAAAGTGGCATTCCTGATACCAAATCAACTGCAAAACATAGATTACAGATTAAATTCATAATTCAAAAAGCAGTCAATGTTCCTAGACCTATCCATATTTTCTGGTTGGTCAATGATGGCCCAGTGATCAGTTTTAGTTCTCTCTTCATTTTGGCCGTCCAACTGAACTAAATTAGACCACAATCCACTTCAATCACTAAATCCTCTAGTCTAAAGCTACAATAACCATGTACAGTAGAATCATAACGGACAAGATCACAAGTACGTAAATTCCAGCTCAACCAAGAAAAAAAAGTTCCAGAAATTCTGTCAAAGAATCACCAGATTCGAACAGTCACAACTTTCCACATCTTTAGAAACCAGAAGATCTCACCAAACTAAAAGTCACTCTGAGAACAACATTTGAACCAGATTTCCGTAAAATAATAATTAGTAAGTGGAGAATCCAAACCATGACAGGCTTCCAACATGAGCTAGTCAGGCATACAAAAGTCACTTCTGTTTTTAAAAAATCTGCTCAATAACAAAAGTGACATTCACAATTTAAGTAGATTAATTTTTTATCCCGTCATGAAACCTTCACAAGACTGGTCCATTTAACAGTCCAGTAATCTGCCAGAACTTTCAGCCATTATTTTTTATCCGTTCCCGTTCAACCATTTTAATGTCATTCATTCATTCATCCAGAGCCAGATCTGTGACAGACATGGGCGATCAAGGTTCTCTATTCCTTCCTTTGCTCGCATACTCTCAAAGCTACATTTCCCTGATCTTTCCCTGTTACCCATTTTTGTTTAGGTTCCCTAAGTTGGTTGCTCTGGGCCTACCCCTGCCTCGTTTGCCTTCCATTTTGCCAGTGAGAGCTAGATGTTCAAGACCTTTATGTCTATTCAAGTGTCCCAAAAACTGCATTTGTCATTTCCCGATCGTTTTTAACAGTGAGCATCCCACGTGGGCTTCTTCAAGCACTACCTCATTTGATTTCTTTTCCTTCCACAATATTCTCAGCAGTCTCCTAAGAAACCACATTTTCTGTTGCTTCTATTTTATTTTCACTGTCTTTAGTGATTGTCCAGCATACAAAACATAATTCTACAGACATTACTACGTTAGTCCACGCTCAATAAAAAGATGAAGTTTACGAAGTTCATCAAAGTATCAGTGCAATATTAACAATAGACTGCTCCACTCACCTGTAGGAATTTGCACCACAAATCTAAAAATTTGAATCTTCCCGTGAGAACAATATTCCAGTAAGCAATGGCCATGTCTTGATCTGAGGAGTACACACATACAGTCAACTGATCAAAAACTCACCCAGATATCACAATCGCATAAAAGATTCAAACAAAAGAATATAAAATAAGGAGCAAAGAACTTGTCCTCATAAAAGCAAACGTGTAAAAATCATCCAGTAATAACTCTCTCCTTCTTTCACCTACCAAGTGCCACATCTGGAACAAATATTGATGAGATAGCGACTGTCCATTCAGTGAAGTCCATCATTTGATCATCCTCAAAAATATTACACGACAACTTCCAGAGGTGGAAGTCTAAGAATTTACTCTTTTTAAATATATTGCTCTTATCATGTCCCTACCTCTTTTTCTGTAAATCTTACAGAAAGAAAAGACCCTCATACCCATAAAAATACTTCATAGGGTAAATAATAAAAGAAAGAAAAAGAGCATCACTTTTAAGTATTAATCTCACATGGCGAAGGGTGAATGTGAAGAGATGAGGAACGGGAACAGTCAATATTCATGATTCAAAGTCAAGAGCTTTCTTGTAAAACAATATACAGTCGAACCTCCTGCCATGACGGCCACCTGTACAAACGGCCACTTTCCATTCCCCCCTTGCGTTTTTTCTACATAAAGAAAATATAGTGGTAATATAGTTTGTAAAATGCATAAAGCTTGCCGTCCAGTGGGGATACACAACAAAATGCAATTTATCATTATCTATTACATGAAAATATTCCTTTCACTTCACATAAAGCATTTTGCCGCCGTTCACTGAAGGCGAAGTGGGAGACAAAACAAGGCAGAAAGAACAAAAAAAAAGTCAAGAACCATGCTCATACCTAAGCCTTTCTGCTCTGGGTTTTTGGCATAATTGAAAGTAAACTGGTAGAAATCCTTAAAGTTGTTGGGGTCTCGGATATCCTGTTCGAGCGTGCTGCACTTCCCTCGTAATTTGTCGATGGAATCACACCTGATTGTGAAGAAAGAAATAAAAATAAGAGGACTGCACAGGAAGTAGATTTAACAAATAGGATTTGTATACCCCCAGGTCATGTCCATTGAAACCGAATGACATGTCTGCTGGGACATTTCAACGACCCACTATCAGCACTGTTCAAGGAACCCAATCCTGCCCCCCCCCCCCCGGGAAGTACTGAGTTCCTGCTTGATGCCACAGTACCAGAAGGAAGAGAGAGAGAGAGGGAGAATGTTAGGAACACTTTGAACATGACACAAGTTACTAAACTGCAAAGTGCCTCAACTAGCAACTGGAGATTACGGAAAGCAAATTATAACCCTATGAAAAGACAAACAAGTGATAGCAGCTAGACATCTCTCTGTTTGTGTGTGTGCGTGTACATGTGTACAAAATCAAATTGCATGTAACGCTGGATCAGAGGCTCCTTGCCTATTACGTTGCCTGAAATCTACAATGCCAGCCAAAGGTGAGGAGAGGGGACTGGTAGGAAAGGAACAAATTGAGGACAAAGCTAGCTCACAGAGTAACGTGTTGAAGAAAGGGAGCTTATTACTGTACAGCTTCCAGGAGGGTGCCATGCGCCATGTGTAATGTGCACTTCTTGAGGCCAGTTAGCTAGCACAGTAATAGGGAAAATTTACATTAGTTTAGTGAGAGATGTATAACTCAGAAAGTTGGCAGATGGCAGTTTAAAGGGGTAAGTAGTACATTTATCAAATTAAGTGTTCCTTTTAGAGCATATATTTGCAAAACCTGGCAGTTTAACAGGAGGGGGTTATGATGAGGTTTGACTGTATTATTGTATGGGGAATGACTACACTTCTTTTTTTCCCTTCTCTGCTGATAGCTGTTCATGCTGTCTCTCAGATGACTCCTCCTATTTTCAATACAAAGCTATACCTTGTAAGTAAGCCATATGGGGCACAAAAGTCAACCCATCTAGATCTTTTTACTCTGGAAGCAGAAAACCCTCTTTAGGTGCGTATTTCCACTCTAGTTATAGAAAACGGTAGCATTAAACAAGACTAAATTAACTGAAACAAACTGTCTGTGTGTGTGTGTGTGTGTGTGTGTGTGTGTGTGTGTGTGTGTGTGTGTGTGTGTGTGTGTGTGTGTGTGTGTGTGGGTGGGTGGGGGGAGGGGGGGGGGCAATCTTTCCTTTTATTTCCCAAACTGAGACTGTTTGAGAAGGGTGGACCCCCACTGTATATCAGAGCAGAGGACAAACTGACATTGACAATCTCCTTACCCAAGTTCTGACATCCCTGTGACAAACTCTTCTTTAGTGAATTCGCACTGAGTTTTTGCTTTGAACCTCCAGGCCAGAATCAACACCGTTCTGGACTCAGGGTTCAGCTGTAAATCTTCGAGGAAGCGCATGACACCATCAACTGTCATTTTGTCTTCCTCGCCTGGATCTGGAAGACAAAATGGAAGGCATATTTATATACAGAGTTAACACAAAGATGGTTCAATTTTTCTTCCATTAAAATTGTGGCACGAGATTAGAACAAAAAATAACATACTGAATAACAAACATGCACTGGTTTTAACTCTTTGTTTTAGTAAGAGTTTTACGGCGTTCGCAACTGCATAAGGTCATGTTATATGAGCGCCAGAAGTTTAGACGTGTTACAAGAGAATAACAAACATTAAAAAGAAGAAGGGGAGATAAGGTAGCAATGACAATGAAAAATCAAATTTTTATCCATATTGCTTTAAAAAAGACTTAAATGAAAATAGTGTAAATTCTAAGAACTGTGGTTTAAAAATTTTTTTAAATCTTTAATAAATAAAAAAGTAATTGGGATTTTTGTTTGCAAAATTTTGGGGGACTTTTATAAAGGAAAACCTCCAAAAAGTGGGACATGTCTTGATGTATTTTGAGGAAAAACTGTTCATAAGTCAGTAATGAATTGGAGTATCTGAATGAAACTTGGCATCTCCTTGTTGTGATTTTTAGTGCAGAATCTAGTTCTGTTTTATCACTTTTTCCATCTTTATTACTTTGGATCTTAAAGACTAATATTTGTGTGAAATTTGTTGAACTGCACAACATCATTTTACTGCAACCTGTCACACCTTCTAAAACTCAATGTTAAAGCGGTATCGGGAAAACACGCGATTAAGTCATCGATGACCTTTTCAGTTATAGGCAGCCAATCACATGCCGCCAAGCGGGCGGACAGACGGACGAGAACCGACTCCTTCCATTGCATACTACTTACCCCCC